GAGTGTGGAGCAAGGAGACCAACAAACCTGACTCAATTCCACCAGTTCTGTCAGGAGGAATGGGCCAGAACTCATCAAACTATTGTGAGAAGCTTGTGGAAGGAAACCCAGAACGTCTGACCCAAGTCCAACAGTTTAAAGGCAATGCTACCAAATACTGAGGAAATGTATGTCAACTTCTGACTTTGAAGAAAGTGATCAAAAAATTCTCTCACTCCTTATTCTGGCATTTAGCAAAAAAAAAAAAAAAAAATGTTGGTAATCCAAACTGATCTAAAACAGGAATAGTTTAGTTTGATTTACTATCAGACAGTGAGAAAAAAAAGGTTTTGTGTCTTTTTATATAGTCTAAACTTCTGGTTTCAACATGAAGCATTAATAAACAAGGTGTAAGTTATTATGTGTAATATATGTTATATTAGCGCTGTGAGCTTTAGATATTCTACAGAAAGAATCTTGAAAACTTCTGTTACTGGGAGATGTTGTATTAATTAAAAGAGAGGCGATTAAATCTAACGACTAATGCAAGAAATTTGTAGAATAAGTTTTCTCTGTAGAGTCGGTGATGACATGTCAGCGATCCATCACAGCCAGACTGAATAATCCCAAACCAGAAATAAACTGTCAGCAGATTTCCTCTGTTTGACTGCACACAGGAAGATGCTGCAGGATCACAGCCGCCGCAGTCGCTCAGTGTTGGGGTGTGATACTGTCTGACGTGCTGCTGCCTTCCTACAGATAAGTGCAGCGATGACGTGTACGAAGGGCAACGCCCACAAAATGTTACACAAGACAACAAAACACAGATGAGCATCGGCTGTGGTTGTGTCTTCTGGGACTCATCTTTACTATAATTAGGAAGCGACATGTTGCTTTCAAGTTAAATCCAGTTTGTTTTATTTAAAAGGAGAGCCCAAACATTTTAATGCAGTGAACGGAAACACTACTTATGGAATGCACACCTTGTAGATAGAAACAGGAATAGAAATAAATTAGAAATAATCCCAAATTGAGTTTATAAATTGTGATGTTTTATTGCTGTTGGACTCCACCCGGCCAAAGGAGTCAACTGTAACATTTGAAAACTGTAAAAACAGCAAATATCTGCAAAATAATTCTATATTTTAATTAGTTTAAATACAATAAAACTATTAAAAAAAAATAAAAATCAGCCAAAAATTGTAAAATAACAAATAAATATCTGTAAAATGTGGATTTTAAAATTGGATATTATGCACAGTTTAGGTCTATTATTATTATTATTATTATTATTATTATTATTATTATTATTATTATTATTATTATTATCACCATGTAAGTAAATTTTTAGATAGATATTGTCTGTATTTCAACAAAACGTTAAACTTTATTCTTTCAAATATTATCAAATATATAAAATAGAACAAATATCTGTAAAATAATTAGAGTTTAGCTGATTTTAATGCAGTAAAACTGTAATTTCACAGCTGTAAAAGCACAGATTACTGTTTGTGAGAATACAGATATTTGATGTGGTTGTTATTTACAGTTTGGCCTGTTTTTTTGTTAATGTTGTTGTTTCTTTTTCACAGTCAGCATGTAAATTAATACCTTTTTTTTTCAGTGATATTACTAAATATTATCTGTAATTTCACAAAACAGCTTAACATTATTTACCATTTTCCAATCCTAATGTCCATTTCTTTCTTTTAAATAACAAAAAATAGCTGTGAAATAAAAACATTTATAGTGGATTTAAATGCAGTAGAATCAGTCCATATGTCAGATTAAAACTGTAAAGTCAAATTGCAGCTACATGAAATTCGAGAGAATAAAAAAGGTTGAGCTAAACATCCTGCAGGTGTTTCAAACTGGCCGGTGAGGGAATAAACTACGAGGAGGAGTCAGACCTGAAGTTGCGTTCAGGATATTAACCTGCAGTCAGGGAGAGTTCAGCACCTCGCTGGCATGTTGTCATGTTAACTTACAATTTACTGGGTGGTTCTTCATTTTAAGGCCTCTGAGTAAGATCCAGACAAAAGAGGGAAAACAAAGCATCTCAAAGATGGCCGACAGTGATCTTTAAGCATTTTGAGAATTCCATATTGTTCCATTTTTAAATTTTTTTTTAACTTTTGCAGATGTTTGACATAGCAAATCAGCATATTATATTAAAGCTAACTCTAAATCACTGATAAAATTCTGTTGTTTTGCCTCCATAGTCTTCGTGGGCATGGCCTAAAGTTCACATCATGCATCCAAATATGTCACAGATTTCCTTCCCAACTGATAAACAGCCAGCTGCAGAGGAGGCTTGACAGCAGAGGAGACGTGCCGAGTAAAAAGTGAGAATGAGCTGGGAGCAGTGGGGGTGAAATCTGCGGGCAGCAGGCCTCTTTCAGAGCGAGCCGGGCGGTCGAGGAGGCCTGATAAACCTTATCACGGCGGTCGCACGCTGTAACGGCTGGAACAGGCCAGTCAGCGAGACAGGGAGGAGTGGACCGGCCCTGCACAGAGATATGAGCTGCAGACCAACATCCAGAGGACTAGAAGAGAACAGAAAGACAGAAAAAGCGACAAAAATCTTTAACTTCACCACAGCACACAACAGATTGTCAGTCACAGTCTTGTGTATCTTCAATCTCCTCCCCCCACAGCCTCAACAAGACCATGAATTATAGTCAGCATTCACAAGCACACAGTTTTATTTCATTTTCACAACAGGAAAAGCACGTGTGTTGCTAATAATATTAATAATAGGTCCCTTGCAGTCAAGTGCAACACAACATAGAGAGCCACAATTAATGCAGTTAATTAAAATGTGCTCTGACAAGATTTCTCTACTGCAACAAGGAGATAAATTGAGATTCTACATTCAAGAGTTTTTAAAAAAAATTTATTTGTCACATTGCTCTTGCAGAATGTGCAGTGACACGCTGCTGCGCATCAGTAAGACATTATAAAAGAACAATCTTTAAATAAAGTCACAACATCATAAACAATAAGGTGGTAGAGATGGAGATTTTGATGCTAAACGTCATAATCAAGGACTTGTCCCTGCACCAGAGGAACACAGTTTATCCAGTAGGTTGATCATTTATATGTTGTTGTTCTGCATCCACCACTTGGAAAACAGCTGCATCTCATACATGAAATGAGCTCTATTTAATAAAGTCATTTTCCAAAATCCCTACAACTACACTGAGTCAATGCAGCGTTCCTGTGGCCTTTTGAATTTTCACACGAATGCATAAAATATATCCATTTAAAAGTCAAACTGCGTCTAAAAGAACACATCTAATACTGCGTCTCGAGTGAAGGTAAAACACAAAAGTCAACGGTGGCCGTTGAAATCTCGTGTTAAGCTTCATGCTCCCTTAAAGGCACGAGGAAAGAAGACAAACTAGAACCAGAGCAAACACAGAGTCACATCAGATGGTTATTGTCTATACAGGAGCATCTTAAATAACTCTGTAAACACACAGAGCAGTTCCATGGAGTCTTCTTTCTCCCTCTGAGGGATCTGACAGTCTGTTGACAGTTCCTGGGAGGGACGACACACAAATCCTCTTAACCGAGGCCCCTCTGACAACACTGGATCTGTTTCTGATGATTTAAACGTGCTCTTCCTGCCCATTAACTTACCCATTGTTTAATATAAATTAGTAACAATGCATAGGTTGTTTACATGTACTTAAAGCGTCAAGAAGATTCACTTGAGTTGCTTCACTTTGCCAGGATTTGGGTTATACCGCCACCATGAGGCCAAAAGCTGCACAGCAACACTCTGTTGATTCCAGTACTCACTGAGTTCGTCCTACAGTAAAAAAGAAAGAAAGAAAGAAAGAAAGAAATAGTTAGAATATAGGAGAAAATTTTTCATACCAGTTAAAATTGTCACAAATTTTGGTGAAAATGCAGCTTCTACATCATTACAACTGAATTCCTGCTACATTTTTAAAATGCAAAATAAACAAATAAAATAAAAGAGAAAATACGATGGAAGGCTCGAGTAATATGAGAGAGTTAAAAAGAATATTTTCATACAGTTCAAGAGCGACATTCCAACTGCCTTCATAGCAAGATTAAAATCCTGAATCCTGAATTTATGAAGCTAATCTTATGACTTAATTCAAAAATGAATTCAGCATTTTTAATAAATAAAAATCTCAGCAATAAATAAAGTCTTCCACATGAATATTCAACTTCAGGTTTATGTTTTGTTGTTGTTGTTGTTGTTTTGCTTTATATTTGATTTTAGCTTCCATGTCCATGTCTCATTTGATGCTGAAACCATAGACTGTATATAAAGATTTATTTCTAAATATACAGTGTAGATATATATACAGACTTATATATGCAGTCCATGTATTTATATTATTTACAAGCTTCACATATATACAATTTAGGTATACAAATGTATAGGTATATTACACTCTAGGTAAGATTTATATATACAGTCTATGCACATGCAGATTTCTATGTATAGTCTAGGCATATAAAGATTTGTACATATACAGCCCATGTGTATATACACATTTACATACATATATATAGTTTAGGTGTAAAAAGATTTATACAGTCTAGGTTTATGAAGATGAATATACATGCAGTCAAAGCAGAGAATAAGTAAGTAAACGTATGCACAAATGTGTATATGTACAGTCTAGGCATGTGATGATAATATGAATATTTGTTTCAAAATGAATATATATATATATATATATATATATATATATATATGCGTGTGTGTGTGTGTGTGTGTGTGTGTGTGTGTGAAGATTTACATACAGTCTTGGTACGTAGCAAATTACACATATATACAGTTCAGGGAACGAAAGATTTATGTGTATAGAACGGTGTAGACATGTAAAGATCCACTCATCTGCGGGTATATAAAGATTTGCATGTATAAAATCTATAAATAGAAAGATATATATAAATACAGTCTATGGTATAAAAAAAATGAAAGAAAGAAAAACGAGAGGAACGACCCGGAACCTCTGTGTGCACTCGTGTTTCCGGCCGGTCTTATTTTGCACTCGGACACGCGCTCACGCCGCTGGTTCCGACTGTTTTTGAACGTTTCCACCTGTTTAAGAGCTCGTTTCTTCCTGTATGCGCTACAACTAAATGAGCGGCCATGGCGGAGAACAAGGACTTGAAGCTGGACTTCACCCTGAAGGAGCTCACTCTGGCCCCGCAGCCCGAACACCACGACGTCCCGGGAGGCTCCTCCAGCGTGGAGCTGCGGGACAAGCGGCTGGTGTGTGTGGAGTATCCGGCGGTGGTCCGCAGCGTGGATAAGATGCTGGAGACTCTGGGTGGAGAAGCGACGGTGACCAAAGTAAGAGGAGCACAGCTGAGGAACACCTGTGGAGCTGAAAGATGTAAAGACAGTAAACTAAATGTGGGAGGATTAGAAGTTAAATTACATTAATTAGTACAATAAAGCCCCAAACAGATTTTGATTTATGGTGCATTTATATTTAACCAATAGGAAATGACACAAGCAAGCAACAAAAGATGATACGAATAAAATTGAACTATTTCTGCATTAAGTTTTTTAAGATTAAAAATGACAAATTGAACATTTTGGTGAACATGTAGCTTCTGCACCCAAATACAGCTGAAACCAGAAGTTTACACCCACTGTATAAAAAGACACAAAACCTTTTTTTTTCTCACTATCTGACATTAAGTCAGACTAAACTTTTCCTGTTTTAGGTCAGTTAGGATAACCAACATTACTTCTATTTGCTAAATGCCAGAATAATGAGAGAGAGATTTTTATTTTCTTCAAAGTCAGAAGTTTACATACATCTCCTCAGTATTTGGTAGCGTTGCCTTCAAACTCTATGACTTGGGTCAAACGTTGTGGGTTTCCTTCCACAAGCTTCTCACAATAGTTTGATGAGTTCTGGTCCATTCCTCCTGACAGAACTGGTGGAACTGAGTCAGGTTTGTTGGTCTCCTTGCTCCACACTCCTTTTCAGCTCTGCCTAAAAATGTTCTCCAGGATTGAGATCAGGGCTTTGTGATGACCACTCCTAAGCATTGACTTTGTTGTCCTGAAGCCTCTCTGTAACTAATCTGGTGGTATGTTTAGGGTCATTGTCCATCTGAAGACCCATTTGTGTCCAAGCTTTAACTTCCTGGCTGATGTCTTGAGCTGTTGCTTCAATATTTCCACATAATGTTCTTTCCTCATGATGCCATCTATTCTGTGAAGTGCACCAGTCCCTCCTGCAGCAAAGCACCCCCACAACATGATGCTGCCACCCCCGTGCTTCACAGTTGGGATGGTGTTCTCAGGCATCAAGCTTCCCCCTTTTTCCTCCAAATGTAACGATGGTCATTATGACCAAACAGTTCAGTTTTAGTTTCATCAGACCACAGGACATGTCTCCAGAAATGAAGCTCTTTGTTCCATGTGGAATATTTGGATGTCAAAATTGCTATCCGGATACCACCACAACGACCAAATAGACGGATATTCGAGTTCAGCCCTAGTAATCTTAGTGTATGTAAACTTCTGACTTTGAAGAAAGTAATAAAAAAAGATATTTAAAAAAAATCTCTCTCTCATTATTCTGGCGTTTAGCAAATAGAAATAATGTTGGTAATCCTAACGTACCTAAAACAGGAAAAGTTCAGTCTGATTTAATGTCAGACAATGATGACAATGACAATGTTTTTTTTTTTTTACAGTGTATGTAAACTTCGGGTTTTGCTCACTGAGTTCTTGCTATTTAAAAAAAAAAGGCAAAAATAAACTAAAAAGAAATAAAAATGAATTCCAACTACCTTTGTCACAAGGTTAAAATCTTTACGATTGAATTGAAGATAAATTCATGATTTATTTTTTTAGAGTGGAAACGTTCATGTATAAACTCATGACAGTAGATACAGTCCATTTATATAAAGATTTACATCCAACATATACAACTTAGTTATGTACAGCTTATATATACAGTCAAAGTTTAAAAAGATGTACATATATGTTTTTTGGTCATAAATCATTTGCATTTATACAATCTAGGTATATAAAGTTTATACATACAGTCCAGGTATTTATTAAAAAAAATAATAATTCAATGTGCACATTCTAGGTATATAAAGATTGCAGTGTTGAAGTATTTGGACTTAAATTACCACCACCCGATACAGTTAACAGCCCAAATTATTCACAGCCAGATTTTGATTCGTAGTGAATTTTAGTTGCTCACTTGGTTTCTTCTGGCTGGAAATGACATAAACAAGTGACAAAAGATGGCAGGATGTTGTATGATACACATACTTCTTTCGTCGCTTCTTTATGTCATTTCCAGTCAAAAAGGATGCCTCGGGTCACATAAAAACTCAAAATTTGCCATTGGTGTGAATAACTTACTGACAAAAGTGGGTTCTGCTTGATTGTAGCTTGTTGGGTGGAATATGAGAATATGCACTTTTAAGGTTAAATATCTGTTGACACGATGGGGATTTAAATTAGAGCCACTGGCATGCCAATTTGGTCATTTTGTATCATCTGTGTGTCGCCTAAATGGCTGACTAGGTTGAGGTTAACCTACATTTCTCTGATCTGTGTGTACTCCCTGTTAATCCCGCAGACCTTCGCTCACCCAAACAAGCGTCTTGAGCTTCGTTTCCGACCTCAGGATCCCTTCTGTCACTCTGCGTGTGGAAATCGCTTCCCGTCGAGCAACCTGCTGCTAAGAGTGCGACGGCGGGTCCGAAAAACAGACCCCAGTGACGCTGAGATCCACATGGAGGTGCTCGGAGTCATCGGAACGACGTACAAATTCCAAGGTCGGATGAAAAGTCTAGCGATGTTTTGTGTTTTTAGGTTAAATACTACGTCATATAGACAAGATGTGAGCATCTCGGAACATAAAGAACTGTTATGGAGACAGATGATGTTGGTTGTTCTGATTCTGTGTTTGTTTTTATGCAGGTCTGGCGGACTTTCAGTGCCTCGCCGTGCATTCAGAAGGTGGAAAAATCACTTCTTTGTACGACAAAATCATTCTCCGCAAATCTGAGAACCAGGAGTTCTTCGAGCGGCCGATGCCTTACTTCCTCCCCCCGGCCATCTTCTCGCGCCTCGACACTCCCGTGGATTATTTCTACCGGCCTGACGTCCATCAGAAGTCAGTAGGAGCTCTGCGGGTTCCCTAAACGCCGATAAAGCAAACCTTTGATTTAAGGATTATATTCATGATGTTTCTCCTTGTTTCTGTTTGCAGCCAGATGCCCATGACCAAGAAGAACTTTATTGGTTTGAATCGGGCTCGGCGGCCTCACAACGCTATTTTTGTCAGTTTTAATGAACCCAGCGTGCCGTCCGAGTGTATGGAGGCAGCCAGGCTTAACTGGACACGAGTCTGCGTGAAGGACAAGGACAAGCAGGCCGAAGAGCAGATGAAAACGGTGTGTTTGCGGCTGCATCTGTATCCGAATTCCCGTCTTATGTTGTCATTTTTTTCGTGCAGTGTTACGATCCAGCCTCTAGGGCAGGGGTGGGCAATCCTGGTTCTCGAGGGCCACAAGCCTGCATATTTTAGATGTTTCCCTCTTCCAGCACACCTGATTCAAATGATCAGCTCATCATCATCAAGCTCTGCAGAAGCCTGATAACGATCCTGATCATTTGAATCAGGTGTGTTGGAAGATGGAAACATCTAAAACATGCAGGACTGTGGCCCTCGAGGACCAGGATTGCCCACCTCTGCTCTAGGGTCAGCTGGATGTAGCAAAAAAAACCAAAAACAGTTGTTGTTGGTTGAGGTAAAGCAATTTATTGCTCAGCAACGTAAATGAACACAAACGGTGACAATACAAAGAAAACAAGTGGGTGTTGATTTGGATTTAAGTTTGGTTTTATTTCCCTTGATTTTAGTAACATCCACTCGTTTTCTATGTATTGTCACCGTTTGTTTGTGATCATTTACGTTGCTGAGGATTAAATTGCTTTACCTCCACCAACAACTACTGGTTCTTTGTCTTTCATCTAGCCGAACCTAAACACTGGATACGTCGATTCCAGTTCTTCTTCCATCAGCTGTGTTACTTAATTCAACCTCATCCACTTCAAAAACAACACATCGTGGTGTGTAGTGTTACATAAAGGTGACTCAGCGCTGTTTCTGGCTCTTTATCTTATCTCACGTCAGACTTTTTGTGCCTAGATGTTTGAGAGTCGGCCCATCTGGTCGCGGAACGCAGTCAAGGCCAACATCAACATCCACCCTGATAAACTCAAACTGCTGCTGCCCGTCTACGCCTACTACATGGTGAGCCATGATGTTGCACTGTCGGGGGGAAAAAAGAAAGAAATGCTGTTTTATGTTTTTCAGCTGTTTTGTGAATTTGAAGGAAAGTTGAACATTAAGAATGCTGCTGCTTTCCTAAACAGTAATGTCTTAAAATTGCCTTTTTTAATAGAAACAAATTCACTTGTGACTCTATGTGAATCTTATGACATTGCATCATTTTTATTTAACCTGATTATACGATACACATATGCGATGTAGTTCAGTGTGGTTGTGTCTGCTCTCTGTACATTCGTAGAGTCACTCATCCAGTCTGTCCTCTCCTATCAGAGAATAACGAAGCTCCTCAGATCCTCGTTAAACATCAGATTAACTTTCGTAGGTGACAGGACCGTGGAGGAGCCTGTGGGTGAGGCTTGGCTACGACCCCAGAAAGTGCTCAGAGGCCAAGAAATACCAGATGCTGGATTTCAGGATCCGCTGTAGCACCAAACACGGTGAGGTTCTGCGTCTGGTTTTTCCATTTGTCACAGAGCTGTGTCGATATTTGAATGTTTTTTCCTGTCAGCTTTATTTTGCACAGAAGTGTAGCGATGCTGAAGAAAAAAGGAAGTTGGTTGTTTAATACCGGCTCATTTTGTTCCTCCTGTTTCTGGACTTTTAGGCTACTCGCTGTCCGACATCCCGGTGAAAGCCAAGAGGAGCGCCCTCAACTACAGCCTGCCGATCACGGTGAACAAAACAGGTCAGCGTTTGTTGAGATGTTTGTGTTTATACGGAGGTCAACGTGTCTTTTGCACATCAGATATGTTTAGAAAAGCGGAGGTGTCTGTTCTGCTAATGTGTCATCGAGCGTGTTTAAATGCAAATCAGAATCCTGGTTTTGATCATATTCAATGTGTGCACAGAGAAATCCAGCCATGTCCCTGAATACATGATAAATACTCATTACTGATAATTGTGTCTGTGATGTTTCGATCGATTAATTTGAGCAGCAGGTTTAGGAGTAATAAATGCAAACATCGCTTTGTGGATTTGGCTCATTTGCCTTTTTTCCAGCAATGTCAGACAAGAGCAGCAGGAATATTAAACTTCTCCACTTCTATCGCTGCCATCACTCTAGCTAGCTTGGTTTTATGTAAACATACTAAGAATCAGTAATCAAACACTTTTCTCTGTCCCGATCCTGCCTCTTTGCTGAGACAAACTGATGGGTTTTTTCTGCTTCCAGGTCCACAGCCAGCCAGCGTGATGGATCTTCCTGCTCAGGAGGGTCCAGGCAGCAGCCGAGATCCAGCTCCGATCTCGTACCAGCTGAGGGTCAGTGAAGGAAGAAGGAGTTATATGTGATGACGTTGTTGAAGCTAACATGCCCTGCTGGTGTACGAGGGTTATTGCATCTCAAATCGTCAAAGTTTTAGAACAATTTCGACTCGACCATCTCTGATTTGCCTGAAATTTATTTTTCGCACAAAATATGGATGTTTTTAAAGATAATTGTGAAATTCTAGCTTGATATATTCAGTATCTTCTGAGATATATTAACCCACTTGTACGCTGAAATTTGAGGGTGTTTTTGAACAACAATATCTCATGAAAGTATTGAAAATAAAAACGTCAAGTCTTCGGTGTTAGTTCTAATCATGGCATTGATTCAGAATCATAGTTCCCAAAGAAGTTGCACAAAACTACATGAAAAGTCTCCTCCAAACCGAGTTTAATGCTCACAAAGTGTAGTCTAAAAATGGATTTTATGCTCATCTCTAGATCTCCAGAACTCTTCTGTATTTTGATCAGACTATCCAGCAATGTTTTTGTTTTTGCTTTACACCTTATCATACCTGCTCAATCACTTATAAACGTTCAACAATTTTTTTTTTCATTTTTGTGACCAAATACTTTATAGTAAAAAGTATTCTATATGTGTTGTTTTGTATTATTGTGTCTTGTAGCCACATATGGTTCAGAAAATATCACCAGTTGACTTCTGCATCATCATTTTTTTTGTTAATGTGAACTCAGATGAGAACTTTTCATGACAGCTCCGATTTTCTTTTTTTCATATTTCAAGTCACCCATAATCACAGACTTTTTAATCTACTTTCAAAGTCTAATTGCAGATTCTGAATCAATGACATGATATACTTTGTTGTTCAAACAGCTGCAAATTTCAATGTGTGAAAAAACTTGGGGTCGATAGGCAATGTTTTAAAAATAATCTTGGAAAGTATTTGATATATGAATCTGAAATTTCACAGATACTATTTTAGATATTTATAGTTTAGAATAAAGAAACCTTTCAAGCAAACCAGAGGTGGTCGAGCAGAACACTCCCGATAACTTGAGATGGAATAACAATAATAAATGTTGGCATGAATGTAAAATTAAAACAAGATAATATATGCATGTGGTTGCTCATATATTGTTTAAATTTGGACTTTAGGGGGAGCTTTAAAGTTAAAATATAGAAAGATAAATGTGTTATTGTTCCAATACAGTCTTAAATCTGAAATTTAAGGCTCTGGACATCACATTTTCTGATAAAATAGTCCTGGAAAAGCTGTTTCTGACATCTGTTTGACCTCCACAGGAGTCCTCCTACGTTTTCAGAGACGGCATGCTGCCTCCTCACAGACAGATGTTCTACCAGCTCTGTGATCTGGATGTGGTGAGGTACGATGCAGTGATGCTCTCACACATACTTTTACATCTCAAGTACCCGGGGTTCCTTAAACGGATAGCAAGTGCTAGAAAAGCCCTTAAAGTCCTGTTAACTTGAGGTCATAAGTTATTCCAAATGTATTTAATTGTAATGTTTTAGACTTTTCATTTAAATGTAAGCAGATGTATCTTTGATTTGTTTTACCCAGACTTTTTATGAAGAGATGATTTTACTCTTATTTTATGTCACCTCATCGTAGTATTTCCTGCTTCTTATCGCACAGAAAAATACAACAAAGCTTCTGTGTGTATTAATGCCAGAACTCCTGAATGTACAACTCATAGCATTATGTCAAATCAATGTTTTGTGGTTCTTGTGGCACATTTTTATTCAGTGTTTTTCAAAGAATGAAAAAATGGAGCCGCAGTAACTTTGTGATTTTGGCAGAAGCCCAACATCATAGAGCACCGTAGTGGCGTCTTTACTAATAACTGTGACGAAGCCGGACAGCTTGTAAATGAAACCATCTTTGTTTGTCTCCAGCATCAAAGAGGTTGTCGAGCAGAACACCGGCAGCGAGCAGCTCTGCGATGAACGCGACGGCTGGTGTGTTGTCGGCACCACCGACAGGCTGAGAGACATCATCTCAGCCATGATCAAGAAGGTCATCCGAGCTCAGAAACCAGGTCAGAAAACGTGCCCCTTGTCATGTCCTGCTGGTGATACTTGTGTCAGGAACTACTGATTACTTCCCTCAGTATGTGTCCAGGTGTTACCTTTAGCTGTTTTTGGGTCCTGCTAGTTTCCTCTGCTCTGTGTAAGTTTAATAGCAGCTTTCTTTTCTTTAACCACCAAGCTTTTACTCATGTGACCCAACCTCTGACCGCTCTTCACAGTTAATGATCTGAACAGTTCAGCCTAAACAGATTATTAGTCATGCAAGTAGAGCAGCTGTAATACCTTGTTTCCTCTTTATTCTATGCACCTATGCAGTCCATTCATTCCCGTCACAACCTTCAGGATGCACAATGTGTTTGCAAAACTGTGGCAGAGTTCCCACGCGTCCTGGAAAGCCTGGAAAATGATTGACTAATCTTCCAGACATGGAAAACATAGAGAAAATGAGAAAAAAAAAAGTTTGAATGTCCTGGAAAGGGTTAAGTTATCCTGGAAAATGATTTATCCTCCTCCTGCCAATGCAAACGTGTTAAAAGTTACATGTCTGTTGTCACCTGATCTTCTGACAACATTAAGGCACAGTGCTTCTCTGCTTCTAGCCGGCGCAGCGCCCCACCTGCCAGCCAATCACATTTGCTTAGAGCACTTCTGCAACCCAGTGCTTCCAACTGACTTTGTTGCTAGATTTAGCCACTTTTCAGGCCCTGTTAAGGACTTAGTGCCAAGACACAAAACTAGTGACTGTAAATTGAGAAGTGTCGCTAGTACTGGTCTGTGAGTGTGAGGGTTTTGTCTCCCGTGGGCGGCCACAGGCTCCTTTCTGTCCACCGTTGAGTGACAGGCAGAAGAGAGTGGGCGTGTCGGTTACTGAGTTGGCTGTGAGATGCAACAGAACTCTGATTTCAGCAGAGCGGGAGCTTTGAGGTAATTACAGTTAACAGATCATCTTAATGGGCCACGTTTCACTCACACTTGTTTAATTGTCTGACAGTAGAAACAGAAAAAAGTGAATGAAAACATTAGGAATTCTGTTGTGTTACTATGTGCACAGATAGATGGAGAGAAGAGATTAGAGGGATTATTTCATTTAGACTTAATCTCGCTAATTTCCAAAAAAAGGAGTTATAGATGCGCACAGAGACCACAGGGAAGAGGAGCACCCTTAAAATGAAACAGTAGGCAGTGAAAAGTAACTATTACATGTTCATTTGAACCGCTGGCCTGGGCGTCGCACCCGTGGAGGATGTGGGTGTTGCAACACCTGCACTTTTAATTAAACATAATGTCATCACGGGCTGCAAGGTGGCTCAGTGGTTAGCACCGTCACCTCGCAGCTAGAAGATCCCCGGTTTGCGTCCCAGTGAGGACACCTGGGATCTTTCTGCATGTTCTCCCCGTGCAGCGTGGGTTCTCTCTGGGTTCTCCGGCTTCCTCCCACAAGTCCAAAAACATGTTGAGGTTAATTGGTGATTCTAAATTGTCCGTAGGTGTCGATGTGAGTGTGCTTGGTTGTCTGTCTCTAAGTGTAGCCCTGTGATAGACTATAATGGATGGATGGATGGATGGATAATTAAAATGACTTAAAACAACTCACAAATAGTGACCTGGAAGTCACAAACCGTGACACACACTCTGCTTTGTCCTGTGCTTTACTCTGAATTGGGCCTTAATTTACAAAACAGTAGTTTAGGAGACTTAAAACCAAATATTGAGACCATAAATTCATTAGAAAAATGCTTTCTGAGACAACAAATCAAGTGAGCAATAGGGTAGTGTTTTTATGGACTTCTGGACTATTGGACTTCTTGTTGCATAGAAAGGAGTCGCTTCCCACTGGCCATCAGAATGCATGTTTTAGGTCCTTCTGAGTTGGATTCACGATTTAAATTGGCCTCGTTTTTTTTACAGTCTCTGGTCCAGAGTGAAATAGTATCTACTGGATGGACTGTTGCCAGTTCTCGTACAGATAATCACGGTTCCCAGATGATGAATCCTGATGTCTTGAGTGATTCGCTGATTTCTCTCTTTTCAATCATTTGTGATTTTAAGTAAAATGTCTTAGCTATTTTTCCATCACATTTAAGTCACACATTAATGATCCCTGTCGGATGAATCGTAACAACCTTGGGTGATGCGTTAACCTTTTCTCTGACTCGATTGTGAAAATCAGCATTTTAATTCGTCTAGGAATTTGGTTTGAATTAGTACAAAGCCGATGATGTTCCCATCAGCTTCAACTGAACTGTGCTTGGTGTTAATTGGTAAGTGGTAGCTTGGTATTGCGCTGAAGCTGCAACGGTGAGTATGGTAAATGTGGTACCAGCTAAACATCAGCACTTTGCTGTGAACATGTTAGCATGCTACGGTTAGCATTTAACATATAGCAGTGCCGTGCCTTAGTACAGCTTTAGAGATGCCCAAGAGACAGAAGTATTGAATATTTTGGAGAATAAAAGAGTGATGTGTACTGAATTACTTACTTACGTCTTTAGTCATTTTGTCCTGTTGGTCACTGAGTCTCCTGATGGTCACATTATAATGAATGAGTATCTTATGTTACATCAAGGAGAGACTGATTGTTAAAATAACGTTTCACAACTAGAAATAGTTTGAGAGTTCAAACCAGTTTTTGTTCTTGGGACGTGTACTTGTTAAAAACTGAATAAGACACAAATATATCGTAGAATATGGAGCAAAACCCCCCAAAAAACGGTGAGAGAACCCTTCTGTGAGAACGTGTATTGTCAGATGTGCTCAATGAAACAGGATGCATAAGAAAGTTAATTAGTTTGTACACTTTTTGGTCTGATTCATTTCTCTCCCTCAGCAATGCCAGAACGCCCCAAAAGACGAAGACGCAAAGCCCTGAAGAGAGACGTGGATGCAGACGAGGACGACGAAGAGGAGTATGAGAACAAGGAAGATGAAGAGGAGGATGAGGACGATGAATTTCAGCCGTCTGAGGGAAGCGAAAATGAGATGGAGACAGAAATTCTAGATTACATGTAACAATAGACTCCATGTGGTTGTTAATATTTTGCATTATCTCCTTGTGTAAAGTGCAGTATCTCACCTGTTCAGCTCAATGTAAATAAAGACATTTCATATTTGTAGAAACTGCATCATCTTTGTTTCACACCACCAACCTGAAGAAACTGTTTTTGTGTTTGTTTGCACGTTCGTTTTTGGTCAGTACGGTTTAACGGAAACAGACTTTTTCTCCAAACTGAACAACGTTCAAAATTATGACACAAAACATAAACAGTAAAAGCCACATGCTGGTAAATCAGATTTGTGTTGCACGTTTCATACAAATAAAATGTAACAAGCGCTTTACATAACAAAAGGAATAAAAAACTATGAAAACAGCAATCATAAACATAAATAAAATAACAAATAAAACATGAAATCGATGACATACGGGATTAAAAAGGTGCATATTGAGTTTGCTTTCAAAAACACCAGGCTGCTTTTTAACTATGGCGAGGTTATCTCACCATTAACCAGGACATGTTGTGTACAGTGTTTCATCATGAACAAACAAGGCTTCTGTGGGTTGTTTATAAGATTTATATGCTGATATTTGGATAAATTTCATCAAATAGTTTTCATTTCACTTCTGAAGTGGATCGCAAAAGTTTCACATTTGGGGCTGAGCAGATGTACTGGTTGAAATCATGGAAACAAACAGGGTTATTGAAATCGTTGTTCGTTATGTGTTGTTCCAGTGGTCAGTTATCTATTTTAAGATGCGAGCATTTCTTATTACCTTAACATAAAAAGGACATTTTGATAATTAAATGTTGATTTATTATACAGTAAAGGATACCGTGGTCCTTTATTTAACACAGAAACAGCAACATGAAGTCTATGTGAAATGTTAAGACTGGGTGTCTTGTAACTATTACTCCAGAACTGGGTTTGAGATGGCAAACTAAATAAAAGATACGATCTTTTGAGAGATCTTCATGTACACTCTAATATACTGTAATTGGTACTTATTGTCGTCCACATTGATGACAAGGACGGACTTTTCAGACTGTCTTCACCAGTGTGACTGAACTCCGTTGGCCAGCTGTGTAAACTCAGTGGAGGCTGGCTTCCTGATACACAAAAGCACAAGATGTAAAAACAATTTTGGAACATTGGTTTCTTTGACCTGTTCTATGAGGACCTATGCATATGTGTGACGTGTTATTTCTGACCTTTTTTTACACAGGAATTTCCAAAAGTGTCCTTTTTTTAATTCACTCAATAAATATCACAAGACTATCTTAAAGCCAATTAAAAGTTCAGAAGAAGTCCAGAAGTTTCTCTTTTTGTATTTAATAACACTATTTAATCTTTGGTTTACACCGTTTCTCTCCAATTTGCATGAACATTTCACTTGAGATGACATTTTTGGCTAAATTTGCCTCACAACTAATACAATCTACTGTTGCCACTTATGAAAACCTGAAGGACAAAATGGGGACAAAACTTGGCCTTAATCTTTCTTTGATCACCACTTATGTGATTTTAGTTCCACCAGTGGTTCACACACCCCGAGATAAGCGCTGACGAAAGGGGAGTGGGACACAAGGTGGTGAAATATTATGTGTGATGCAACAGTGAAGAAGTAGGACACACAGTGCAGACTGGTCAGATGCTGTTTAGGGGAGGGGTCTCGTTTATAAAAGGAAGGTCGACAAAGACCCCGGTTATCACAGTTCGGTCATGATGGCGACTCTGGGGATTGTGGTTGCTGTTGCTGTGTTTCTGGAGACGGTCTCTGCGGCCTCTGTAAGTACCACACAAAATATGTATTTCAGAAGCTGGTAAATATCTACACCTCTGGAAAAACAGTTTTAGGGGTCACCAATATTTTGTGCATAAGCTGCATGTATATAACCAACAGATAATCTAAGGCAAATTATCACTCAGCAATGCCTAAAAGAAAAGATTTGCAAGATGATTGGAAGACGGGCATCTTGGTGCTTAAAGAAGGGAAATACAGCAAAAGAATGTCAACGACCATCTTGGAATTGGCAAAACAACTGTCAGTGTCAACCTTAAGAAAACAATGTAGAATTACCAAGCAAAAGGCAGAAAACAGAGGCCACATGGCTCCAAACTTTATTTCCAAAGCTGTAAAAAATAATATTTGGCATGTAAAAAATATCCCACAAGTTTTGGACCCCAATTAAGCTGTTATAATAAATTGTGACTTTTTTATTATTTTTTTTTACTCATTGACAAATACAGTGTTGTGTTGAAGCAAATGATTTATTTATTTATTTTTGCATCTTTTCATCTATAATAAAGCATCGTTTAAATGAGTGATTGTGTGCAAACTTAAATTTGACAATTCAAACCTCATTGCAGCAAGAAAAATACTTCAGTACATAAGTTTGTTTTTAACATTTCAAGTCCATCTCTTGCCTTTGTTGTACTTACTTTCTGCAGCTCGGAGTGGTGTACACAGAGGGAGGCATGGTGCAGGGTGAAAACATTCGTCTTGGCTTCCGCCGTCACATGGATGTCTTCAGGGGGATTCCCTTTGCTGATATCCCTGGAAGGTTTGAGAAACCAAAGCGTCACCCTGGCTGGGATGGTGGGTGGAACCAGTGAACATCTTGCCTGCAAGACTGTTGCACCTTTAACAATCACAACTGTAGCTCCCACCTGCCTATTCAGCCCATTTGCCTTTAACTTTAATGTAATAAGTTGGGAAGCTTTTTATCTCCAAAATGTGGTGGTATTTAGGCAACAGCTAAAGACCTAAACTGGACAACGTTATAGTTTATGCTGGTGTATTTTGAAACTGCTATTTTATCGTTGGTTTCTCTGGTCAGGTATTATGAAGACCACTGAGTACAGACAGAGGTGCCTTCAGGTGAACCTTCTCATGTCTGACACCAGAGGCAGTGAGGATTGTCTTTATCTTAACATCTGGGTTCCTCACGGCCGCTCAGGTAAAGACTGACAGAAGCCCACAGATTGTCATCTAAATTACAACAACACTACAGCTGTCTCTTTGTCCTCTAGTGTCCACTGATCTGCCCGTCATGGTCTGGATCTACGGAGGAGGCTTCCTGGCTGGAGGCTCAATGGGTGCTAATTTCCTTGATAACTATCTGTACAGCGGACAGGAGATCGCAGACAGAGGTGATGTTATTGTGGTGACGCTGGGGTACCGTGTGGGAACTCTGGGCTTCCTGAGCACTGGAGACTCCAGTATGCCTGGTAGGTGCCTGGTAGATGTTAAAAAGTATTGCATGATAATATGAATTATTTCCATGAAGTGAATTATGTTTGATCCTTCTCAGGAAATTATGGTCTGTGGGACCAGCAGGCTGCCATCGCCTGGGTGCACAGAAACATCCGTTCATTTGGAGGAGACCCTGACAACATCACCATCTTTGGAGAGTCTGCAGGTGGAGCTAGTGTTAGCTTCCAGGTGAGGACCTTTTTTCTAGGCATCCACCTTATTATGTGAAAGGTTACATAGATGGTAGATATACAGTGCCTATAAAACATAATCAACCCCCTTGGGAGTTTTTTTTCTCTTTTTATTGCTTTTCAACATCAAATCATGGTGAATTACTTTTTGTCAATGCTGTCAACGTTGAAGTCACCTGGAAGAAGATTGTTTGGTCTAATGAGACCAGAACTGAACTTTTTGGCCATCAGACTAGACTATGTTTGGTGGACACCAAATATTGCACATCATCTTGAACAAACTATCCCCACTGTGAAGCATGGTGGTGACTGGCAGCATCATTATATGAAGCATGGTGGTGGCAGCATCATGATGTGGGGATGCTTCTTGGCAGCAGGCCCTGGAATGCTTGTAAAGATAGAGTACTAACATGAATGCAGGAAAGTACAGGGAAATTCTGAAGGAAACCCTTATGCAGACGGTAAGAGGACTGCAACCTGGAAGATGATTTGTTTTCAACGACCATGACTTGAAGTTTACTGCCAAAGCTACACAGAAATGGTGTAGAGACAACAAGATGAATGTTCTGGAGTGGCTGAGTCACAGCCCAGACCTCAAGCCTGTAGACAATTTGTAGCTGGACTTGAAAAAGGTTGTTCACTGATGATCCCCATGCAACCTGACAGTTTCGCAAAGATGAATGGGGTAAAACTGCAGTGTGCAGTGTGCAAGGCTGTTTGAGATCTATCCACACAGGCTCAATGCTGTACTTGTGGCCAAAGTTGCATCTACTAAACACAGGGTCAATGCAATTGCTCAATTTCCATTTAACATTTTTAATTTATTTACCTTTCTTTGTATAAAATCTGTTTTCACTTTGAAATATGGGCTGTTTTTTGTAAACTCTTTTCCAAAAATCAAAATTATACTGAACATGATTAACCACTGAAAAAAATATAAAAAGAGAAAACTTCCAAGAAGTGTGGAAACTTTTTAGCAGAAATGTAAGAACATATTTAAAAATCTGTCTCTGTCTGTCCATAGACTCTTACTCCCCACAACAAAGGACTGTTCAAGAGAGCCATCTCCCAGAGTGGAGTTGCCCTTTGCCCTTGGGGTATCAACAAAAACCCCCGCAGGTTCGCTGAGGAGGTACATTGCAGCTTCCCTGACAAGTTAACATACTGTTTTTTGGAATAATTACCAGAAATAATAATTAAAGATGAATTGAACTCTCTCCCCAGATTGCATTGAAGGTCAAATGCCCCACTGATGAAAATATGGTTGCCTGTTTGAAGATGACTGATCCCGCGCAACTAACACTGGCAGGTTCCCTCGATGTATCCAGCTCTCCTGATCGTAAGGATTGCTCTCCACACCACGTTCTCATTTTAGACATTGTATTGACTCTTTCTACCTGAGCATTTACAGGGAAGTAAGCTTTTATGACCTGGTTAGCAGCTAAGTCATAAGTGATACTGACAGTGTGTTACATCCATTAATCATGGCACATTCATTCAATGTCATGTCAACAACTTCAGATTCAGCAAAATGCCAAAGTGACAATGCCTGTTGCATAAACCCGTAGTTAGTTCCATATATAGTAAATTTTCTGATTGTATTTGTCAGACCCCATTGTAACCAACCTGCTCCTGTCTCCCGTGGTCGATGGGGACTTTTTGCCGGATGAGCCTTACAACCTCTTCCACAATGCGGCCGACATTGACTACATTGCTGGAGTCAATGACATGGACGGGCATGTCTTCACTGCTTTGGATGTTCCATCAATCAACTCTCACCTGGTGAACACCCCGATGTGAGTTCACACCATTTGATCAGTGTTAAACAATGACATCATCACAAACAGATGTAATCAGAGCATCACACCAAACTGTGGTTAGGATTGTTAAGCCATGAGCAGTTTGAGCAGCAGGAAGGTGTTTTATAAGACCTCAGCTTGAAACCATCTCTCCTTGGATGCAGAGGGGATGTGAAGAGACTCTTGGCTTCCTACACTAAGGAGAAGGGCACAGCTGGTTTGGAAAACGCCTACTCCACATACACCTCAACCTGGGGAGCGAATCCCAACAAGGAGACCATCAAGAAAACCGTTGTGGAGATTGGAACAGACTACATTTTCCTGGTTCCTACACAGGCTGCACTTTACCTTCATGCTTCCAACGCCACGTAAGAATAAGATCTTGTTGCAGATGTTGCTGTCAGTTTATCTGCTGGGAAAAACTTTTTTTAACCACACGGTAGCCACTGTAGTATAGGGAAGCTATTGACAGAGGCTCTAAGCTTTCTTGGGAATAATTGAGAGAACAAATGCGGCCAAAATAGTTGCAAATGTGGCCGTTCTTTGAGAGTGTGCAAGCAAAGATTTCACGTGGTCCCACTGATACGGGTGTATGATGATCAATACACTGTTTTGTTGCCCTTTTGTTCAGCACAGACAGCTACTGCATTAGCCATTGTGGCTGGAAGTCTTACTTTTTCTTATTCACCGGCCTAGTCAATCTCTGCCTGATCAACTGTGGTGTTAATATTTAAAATGTGTCCCCATCTGAGAAAGCTCTGCTCATAGAAATGTCTGTACATAGAAAGAAAGCACATGCAGACTAATCATTATTATTTTGGTCTGCTTAGCTAGAAAAAAATGGTGACTTTTGTATTTTGGGGCGTTCAATGGTCAAGCACTATTAGGTGCAAGACATAAAATACCTCATGTTTAACAGGCTCCAACCTGAATAGGCTCTGATTTGGGATTTTTAATGATTCAATAAGGTCTTAGTTTTATTTTATTTATGCCAGTCATTGATGTAGTTATAGTAACATACCAGTTGTTTCCCCATTTCTCCAAAGAACTGGACGCACCTACTCCTACCTCTTCTCTGAGCCCAACCGCCTGGGTGGCATCGGCAGGCCCTACCCCAGCTGGGTGGGAGCTGACCACGCTGACGACCTGCAGTACGTGTTTGGAAAGCCTTTCAGCTCACCACTGGGGTACTGGCCTCGCTATCGTGACCTCTCTGGCTACATGATTGCCTACTGGACCAACTTTGCCAAAACTGGGTATGATTCTGCAGACACAAAACACAGGAGCATGACAAAAACAAACCTGAAATCACTGAAATAGAAAACTATAACTGCACCATTTTGGTTTTCATTTTCTCTGGTTATGTCAACAGAGATCCCAACAAAGGAGACCTGAAGGTGCCCGCCACATGGCCCAAATTCACCACCACTGGACACCAGTATCTGGAGATCCATCATGAAATGAACAAAAACTATGTGAGACAGAAGATGAGGCTGCGTTATGTGCATTTCTGGACCAGTGTCCTGCCCAATCTTCCCACAGTGTTCTCAGAATAAAGACCTTGTGACATCACCTACTACAGGTCCTGACAAGCCTTAAACAGATGAGAGGTCTGCACAAACAGAACAAATAATGAGACAGGTGACAGATGGTTACATTTTGTGAAACTTTATTCAGGGGGAATTACATTTCCAAATTGTAAAACAAATGTTTTCTTCCCTTCAACTGCAACACTAATAAAAATTCATTTGGCAACAACCTGGTTTACTGTATGAGTTCATATTTACACAAAGCTGAAATGTAGTACAGTCAGAAACTACAACATACTTGAATATTAGATTGGTTTCAACAGTTTACTGTTAGGATTGCATGTATGTTGTGTTTTGCTTGTTTTCTGTGCCTTGGTGTGTGGTGGGTGTGTTTTTCCTGTTCTCCCTGCAGGCTGGGCGGAGCCGACCGGAATGAGACAATCAAGCGCTGACAGCTGCGGCACATCTTCTCATCAGCAGCCAGCCGTATAAATACGGGCAGCTCACAGACCTTCAGCGCCAGATGATTGTGATTCCTCACCGTGGTACAATCAAGCCGCTTAGCAGCAACCTCTCGAGTAACTTCTAGCTAAGTCTACTGTTTTAGAGTGTCTCTAGTTCATGGTTTTTTCTTCTGCATTTCCAGCGTCTCGTCTCGGCTCCAGCTCCAGTGCTTCTCCCCACACGCCTGCCGCCGATCCTCCCTCGAGCACACTTCACGGGAGCACCTTCACCCGACGGATCTCCGGTTGAGCACCTGCACAGGGAAGATCTTCACGGGATACGGATTCACACCAGCACCGTTCCTGGAGCACAGCACCCCCACCTACCACCTGGGATCTCCACCGCGACACCCCCACTGGATTCCTCCACCGGGACACCCTCACTTCCCCCTCCCTTGTCAAATAAATCTTTTCCTTAACATTTTCTCCCGTCTCCCTTTTTCGTTTGGGTCCACCCGCTTAGATTCTGAGACTCGGGTCGTCACAGTTTACACCATTTTAGTTAACTAGGGATGCAAAGAAAACAGAATTTCTTTAAAAAAGAAATAAACAAAAGTCCACTCACAAGGAGGGTCTATGAGAGAAGCTTGTATTGTATACCATAAAAGTTTGTGGGGTCAGTTCGTATGGTTTCAGATAGTGGTGTTGCTACACCGGCTCAGATTTTGTTCAGAGTTTACTTATTTATTATTTGGGACCTCCAAATAAGGATTTTTTGTAATTTCGCCCTCAGACAAATGCCTAACCTGGGAAGCCATTTAGGGTTCCAATACCTCCAGGAGTATAACTCCATGAGAACACAGATACAATTATTTCCAGCAGATTCAAATTGTTTAATCATTGGTTCAAAATCTTCAAAGGGTGATATCGAGACTTTAGAAAGTTCCTCTGTGTAAATCAGTGTGGATGTATCCAGGACTGATTTCCTGTCTTTAGTTGACATTTTACCAACCTTTGAGGATTCTGCCCTTCGTAAAATTTGATGTGTATCAAGTATTGTAAGCCATGGTTCCAGTTTTATTGTTATTTTGACATGCCAAAATGATCATGTGTACTCATGTGTAGAACCACAAAAACTTGTGTGTATATAGATTCTCATTATATGTGCAAAGTTACAGTTTGGTTCGAAATTGTCTTTGTGTTGAAAGTCAACAAGGCTTATGAAATCGGGGAAAATCACACACAAACCTTTTCGTGGGGTTCTTTGTTTCCCAATTTATTTACATTTAACTAAAACTAGACAGTAAAAACGTGTTACAGCAAACCTATGGCGCAACACACGTAAAATAAAAATCTACAAGAGACCAAGTGTAAAACCACTATAACTAATATGTAATAAAACAATCAAAGAGACATGGGAGAAACAGTACAAGAGACGTACCAGAGACATTCATATTTTATGGAAATGAAAATGTATCACATGATAGACTGGAAGTCTCATACTTAGCACACGGACAATTAGCTCCGGCGGCACACACGTAGTGTTTTCATTCTCTAACCATGTGCACTCCGAAGCAACGCAAACAAGCAGAAAGTGGATTTTTAATGTATATACAAGGCTAAAGGCCCTGTTGGTTCCACCACTCACTGCCAGACCATAGACTATGCAACCCTGTTTCCCTGCTGGTCCCTGGCCTGACTCCTGCCTGCCTTCCCTAAGCCACTGCCACCTGACCGCCCTGCATCAGCGACACATTAGCTGTCTGAACCAGTCCCTGCCTGTCCTGTAGTCCTGTGTCTGCACCTCGGTTCTCCGACACACCACAACAGTTTGGTCTGGCCCAAAAAGAACCCAGCGGACACAGAACTCAGCTCTGACTCAATGCCAGCCCCCTCCACAAATCCAAAAGGCTTTAGCTAGCCAGGAGGTGCTGCTCAACCTCACTGATCGATCAGACCCTAAAGACCTGTTGGATAATAACCAATCCATACTCAATCAAATTAGCCATCTCACCAGCCAGGTGGCTGCCTTGTCTGCACGACTCCACCAACTGTCCTCTGCTCAGGACCTCATTCCTCCCCTGTCATTGGTTTCTCCCCCAGGACCACCTGGCCACCACCTCTTTCTTTGAAGATGACGACTCATATGATTATCTGGACTCTTTACTTAGTTTGTATGGTGAATGGAAGAGGGCTCAGAATAAAGAACTTAGAGAGGCTGAACTCACCAGGCCCTGAGTTCACCAGAAGACACGTGGCAGACTCTAAGGTCAACTGGAAGATGCTTCTTTAGTCTTTTGAGACAGAAATTGATTCCCCTGGCAATGAGGTTGCACCAGAGCCTCTGCCTGCAGTGGCCTCCCTTGCTCCAGAGCCTCCGCCCTTGCTGGCTCTTAGTCTGGCCTCCAGAGGAGCTCCGCCCTCACCAGCTCTTAGTCCTGCCTTTAGTGGGGACCTGCCTCCTGAGCGGTCCTGCTGCCGCTGGCCTCGAGCCCGAATTCCAGTGGGGTTCCACCTCAACTAGCATTTTAAATCTTGACTTCACCAGAATACTTCACCAGACTCTGAAGTCACCTAAAGGAAGAATCTTTGGTCTGAGACCAAAAGTGAGCTCTTTGGCCATCAGACGAGACCAAAGGTTGGCAACCTTAAACACTCAAAGAGCCATTTGGACGAGTTTTCCATGGAAAAGAAAACACCAGGAGCCACAAAACCCTTTTGACATCTAAGATGAAGATAACACTGCATCGTTTTTGCCTTTATGCTATGTATGAAAAAACTATAGTGTGTTGCAAAATTGAGCTTTCTGGCCATCAGACGAGATGCTATATTTAGCAGAAACCAAACACTGAACATTATCACAAACACACCATCCCCACTGTGAAGCATGGAGTTTAAAACTAGCTTGTAACTTCTTTAGAGGTGTTGGTGGTGTCTTAGAGGCCTCCCTCACTCGTCTTTTTCTTGCAGTCACTCAGTTTTTTAAGACTGGCCGCTCCAGGCAAATTTATGCATGTGCCATATTTCTTCACTTTTATATGCATTTTATCATCAGATGAGGTCTCTTGAGTGACACCAATTTTTGACAGCAGCCTCTAGTGAACAACAGTAAACCAAAAAACAGGTTCCAGAAAAGAAGTCAGAAAGAAGAGAGAAGTAACAGTTAGAAAATGATTTAATCCTTCATCAGGACAGAACAACAGCACACTTAATTTTCACAAGGAAGTA